GTCCTGTCTTTGCTGCCTCTTCTGTCAACTTTTTAGTTTTCGATGAACAACACTTAGTGTTAATCAAATGAACGCTATTATTATAAATTAACAAATTTTCATATGTACAATATAAATAATCGTCCAGTAAGTTGAAGATTTTATTCCCCACTACAGTAAATACCCAAAACCAAAGTAGATTCATACCAAAAACTTCGAACTTAAAAATGACTTATGAACAACTTAAGCCTTGATCATTACTCGCCTGTAGACAATTTTCAAAGCTACGTAAAGAGAGCAAGGATAAAAGCACTTCGTCTCATTTTTTTAAAATGACAAAAATCTAGGACTCGAAGGTATATACCTTTTTACGTAACGTTACTCCTTATAAAATGTGCTACAATTGGTATCTTGTGGACATTTTCACATCCTTGTCAAGTATCCTGCTATTTATTAAATCTCCTGTTTAAAGGAAAACAACTATCAGTGCTATAAGATATTGCAGACAAAATTTTTGTTAACCTTTTACTTCCATTTCTACTATCTGATTCCGTTTATCTTCTCCTAAAGCATGATATGGTCTTCATGTCGTCGGTGTGGTTAGTTTCCCATTTCGAAGAAAATTTTCCTTATATTTTTGACGCCAGGATTTAGTTACTCATTTAGGACTAGACAACCTTTCCCTAACCATTCAAAGCTCATCTCCCCTGCTGATCGACCTGTTTTACCTCTTAAATGAAGTTCATAATCTATACTCATATGTTTAGGGGTAAGTAGACAGTTGATGATCACCGTAGAAACGAATGACTTAAAAATATTCTGCTGTTGATTTCTCACTTTTCATTTGATTAAACGGTGGAACGACAATAACAAATGCAGCCATCCAGTCCTCTCAACTCAAGAAAAAATGTGATATGTCGACTAGGTTTTAAATCCCTTCAATCAACCAATTGACGAAAGAGTGACGTCATGAGGAAGCTGATATTCCCAAAATCATCAAATGAGTCATTGCTTTCTCATGGCAAAAAAAAACACCTAATTTATCAATACCAACAGGCACGAAATGTAAATTCTCAGCCTCCAACTAACTGACTTTCGAAATCTAATCATTATTCATTACTGATAATTTAGTTGGTTTCGGATAGCAGAAGAATATAGGAGGCGCAAGTCGTCCTATTTGGAACTCGTTAGCTGGATGTAACTGCACCACAGTGATGCCATTTCCACTCAGAATCCAACCTCGTACACATCACTTCAAACGCCAAGCCGTTATCTACTATGCCATAATTAACATTTAGGCAATATCGAGGCATCCACAGAGCAGTTCATATGCCAATACAGGTAGAACAATTCTATACAACAAAACAACGGAGGATAACAAATATGTCAATAAGTAGAAATTATTCATTACATATCATTGTTCCTTCATTGTTTATGTCAAATATGCTAAATATCTTGCTTACTCAACATTCACCTCGAATCTTTGAGTTTGAGTAGAACATACTGAGTATCATGATAGTGAAGTATGTAATCTAAGGATAGATTCTTTGCTTAACGGTCATGCTTGTTTACCTAATATTGAATTTCAATACTATTCATTATAGTATCATCCCACTAAGAAAGTATGATAATTTCGACAACATTAAAATATTCTTCAAGGGATAATTTATTATTAGCTTCAAACATATCAAGCATATCGCCCACCCAACTTCTATACAACTCAATGAGTTTATAGAGTGATCAATAAAGCGAAGAATGAATGAAATAAATTTTCCGAAAATATTACAAGATATATAGCTTAACAAACGGATTCATTCACATTTATCACAAGTAAACATGAAAACGTAATAAATCCAGGTGTTTGTTACAGCCTCCTTTCTCAGACTTCCCATATAACATCTATTCTCCTCCGTAACACATTCTCCTGGGAATAAATTATAAAACACACGATATATTTAAAGTGTGAATATTCTTTTGAGAGCCACAATTTATTATCTTACTAATATGATATCATTTAAGTCAGTTTGAAGCAACCGATGGGAGGCTTTGGACTTAAATTCCATGTTTCATGCAACTTGTCAACTTGTCAGACATATATGAAACCTGGAAGGAACTGCTAGTGTCTCAGGTAACACCTTTGACTGTAGTACGGATTGATATGCGTCTTAAATTCTCCTCCAGATTGTAGAAAATGTCTTGCTGCCTATTATGAAGTACCAGTGGAATATTTTAAAGTCATTAGTTTGAGTTTACAGAAGATGGAATAGGATTGTTTCATTTAAAAAGCCCTGTACTACATGTCGATTGGAGAAAGTTGAACTGAAGCAATCGATAAGAAGCCTTAGATCCAGGTTTTGTGAATTCTAGTACTTGTCAGCGAGATAAGCAGATAAATGAAGTGTGTATTCTTTTATCCTTTCTTAGACAGCGAAATTCGGCATACGGCAATCCATCGTGTTATAATGAGCCTCTGTAATACGATTGATTTCAATATAATATCTGAGCATAATTGATCAATATTTAAAAGCTAAAATGTAAGGTGAAAACTAATCTATATTCACATTTACTTACTGACGTCTAGTAGTGGAATCTAAGGTGGGCGTTTCATGCTATTTAATGCTCTTCAGCCAGATGTAACTATCACTCAGTGAGTTATGGTGTTCCCATTAAGACTTTATTCTTTCACCTTGCTGAAATTCATAACAATGTGTGTTTTAAGTCGTTTTTCAATTATAATTGAAAAAATTTTAAAAGTCAGTCGTGAAATAAATCAAATGTATGTTCCGACTATAACATTCCCTTTTTTACCCTATACAAAAAAAGCCACAATTTCCATTCAGATTGGAGTTTTCAACACTCACTCAAAGTTACGGATCTAAATAAAACTTTATTCGGCAAACCAATAATGAAAACAAGAAATACTTTTAATCCTACATGACTAACAACTCGGTGGTAATGCCTTATAAGTTATCTTTGCACTGAGTGCAGCGCATACAGTCTGCTTAAAATAAAATCGGCTGGTCCTGACTTGGCGCGATACGAAATGCATTTTCAACAAATCACAGACATTCATCAACAACTGCCTACACTGGCTCGTTACTGAGGATCAGATGGCCAGAAAGAATAAGCAACAAGGAACTCACTCTGGGAAAGAACCAACGAAGAAGCTATCAGTCAACAGATATACAGAGGAAGGAAGTGGAGATGGATTGGGAATACACTGAGAAGGCCACTTGGGGACATCACGTGCCAGGCCAGAACTCGAGTGGAACCCAGATAGGAAACGGCGAGTTGAGCGTTGGAGGTGAGGGTAACATTGAGGAGATGTTGCAAGGAGGAAATGAGAGATTGTGGGCTATTGTGTAGCCAGGTTCAAACGTTTGTAGAGAAGAGAGTGGAATGGAGACGTGCTACTGAAGCCCTATATTCCATTAGGAACCCAAGGGACAATTAATGATATAATAATAATAATGGCTTGGCAGACTAGTACTGATACTGGGTGATGATCGAAGGTGAAATGAAGATGTCGGCCACGGCCGAATTCGAACCAGCGACATTCTGGTTTTTGGTCGGACGCCCTACCAGTTAAGCTACTAGGTTTAACTACTGACCAGATTTGTATTTCACTGCAATCCTCAGGGGTCTTGCCCCACCGCCATGTGAATTCGTGAAGCGGTAATGTCGCTTGACCGTACTCACACTGATTTTCCAGTCAGGACTTCTCATCCCAATCTAAAAGGTAAAAAAGCTTGGTGATTTAAGTGTAATAAAAATCTGGTCAACTGTCGAACCGCGTAGCTTAGTTGGTAGAGCATCGGCCAGAAACCCGTTAGTCGCTGGTTTTAATCCAACGGTGATCTAAATTTTCATTGCACGTACAATCCTCATCTAGTATAAACACGTCTATATAAAATTTACCAAAATAAGTCAAATAAGTGAATAAATCTGTCACTATTACACGTTTTATATGATAATGAACTTTTGAGCGATAATAATGGTTTATATTAATAGGAACCAATCACTAAACTGGATGTTATTTGATGACTTGACTGAATATTGGCTTAAAAAGTAAATGGATTTATCGACAATCTCAGTGTGTTAAAAATTTCATACTACTTCAGAGATATAACCGATTGTTGACATACGTATATAAGCTAGGCCTTGATGAGAACTAATACTCATTCCGGATAACAACATACCGAGTGTTTTTAAACAAATATTCATATTTCAAACTGTATTTTAGACGATTCAGTTTGGTTACTGAAGTTTGCTTATTTTTTTTCACTATTCTATTATGTAATACTAACCGTTTTGTTTACAAAACATTCATGTAACATACGGAAATTAGGCGAAGGCAAAAAAGCAAGTAGTTTACGTCAGTTAGTATTGGACTGTATGTTAAAATTGATTTCTATTTGTACTGAATGATGAGTGAAGGTGAGATGATAATCTGGACCGCAGCGGGATTCCATCCAACGACCATCGGGTTTCCAGACCGGTGCTCTGATAACTGAGCTACGAGGTCCGAATGCTGACCAGATTTTTATTTCACTTCAATCATCATAGGTTTTGCCCAACTACCATATGAACTCAAGACGCCTTACTACCGCTTGATCGTATTCACACTGGCTGCTTAGTCAATCAAGACTTCTCATCGTAATCCAAATCTAACTGAATCAGAGAGGGGGAGCATCCTACTGATTATGATTTGATTATCTAAGATAGCCGTAGTTTGGCAAATTTCTATTTCATTTAAATAGTTATACTGATAGTATGGTAGGAAAAAAAAGGGGAATAGACGAATTGAACAGTTGTATATAGGCATTTACATAGATGTTTATATCAACAGTCTTTCACGCATCTCAGTGTCTATTTTTATTATTCCTTTATCATATCGCAAAAAAAAGATGAATGTTACCCAAAATAAAAAAAATAGAGAATAAGAGGGTGGGTAGAAACAAGATAAGAAATTTTGCTTTTGTTTACTTTGTGGCTTCATCTCTAGCTTTCCTTTTTCTTAGGCTTGCATTCTTGGCAATCGTTCTTACCGACATCCCTCCTCCGCCAAATCCTCTTCAATCATATTCAATTGTTTCCTTACTATATTTAAAGTTGATTCAGTCTATGTAGTAAGCGAAATTTTTGTTGTTACCTTGTTTTTATTATTGTCCTATGGTCTTGTTTATATTTTTATCATGAATAAATGATGTTTACATAATTATTAGCAAATCTCTTGAGGTGAAATTAATCTACTTACTGTCTATGTAATACCAGAAATGTCACTTTCTTCAAGTCTATATTAGTGTATATCTGTGTTACACAGACTGTTTACCGATTTCGATCAACTTCCTTTTATCACCAATAACATTTATATTATTCTTGAAATCATTATCTATGAAGATTCAGTGATGATTAGCGTAGAGGAGAAAGCGAATTTTATTCAATGAATGAAACTGACTGTAGTAAATAACCACTATCCTGTAGTGAAGTAAAAAGATAATGACCATTCCGTTAATCATTTGCATAATTATTAATTGTTTTTAATATCTGTAGACTATGAAGAGATCAAAAATCACCAACTAGAATCCCCTCTGTATTTCATGTAGTCTCAAATAGTAATTGTTTATGATCTGTGAAAAGATTCAATGAGTTGTCTTTGAATGTTATAATCAAACAAAGCATATTGACTATAGATTAGACTCTAATATAAAGGGAAAATTAACCAGGTAATATCCGTAGACTTTTTTCTTAGAGACCAATCTACTGGTTGAAGTTTATATGAGGTCTTTATTTTCCTAAAATTTTTAATTGTTGAATGACTTAGAAAAGAAATAGCTGAAATCTTATCACCCTACTACCTTAGTATTTCTTTATCTGAGTGGATGATTGGAAGTGAAATGAATATCTGGACAACGGTAGATTTCAAACTAGCATCCACTGGGTTTCCTGTCCTAGTCTTCTATCATCTGAGGTACAAGACCCGACCATCTGACCATATTTTTATTTATTTTTAGTCAGTATTAAAAATGGAAACTACCTTTGAATAACGTGGGGAAACCTAGTATGTCAGTATATGGTAGTAAAAGCAGATGTGACATGTAGAATTATTAATGATGGATAGTGGCTAGCAGTGGAATCCAGGATGCGCATTTCATCCTGTTTGGGACTCACTTGTCAGCTGGATATAGCTGCTTCCCGATGAGTAATCTTGTTTCCACCGGGATTAGGACTCGGTGAACGGTTTTGATCCGTCACTAGAGAACAAGTAATATCGAGGTATCCGCACAGAAGCCCATATGCTAATGGAAACCGATCAGTTCGGTCCGAATCAACGACGATATGATACAGAAACAATTATACTATTGTAGAATTATTAATTGAATGTATATTCATAATTTAGATTGATGTGAAGATTTAGCTAACATTTTGAGATTTTAATTGACTTCACAATCACCAGAAGTAATCGATAAAAGAAACCGAAAATGGACACCTTCTTCACTTCTGAAACTTTTGAATTCATCTATCATTGAACCTTATCCTAATATATGACTTCAATTCACATTTTTAAACTAACGTAGAACTACCAAAATAACCATTTATTAAGATAAAGGTGTAGAGATAAAGAGGACATCATTAGGCAAAATAACCAAAAATCCTGATCTATCAATTTAAGTAGTAGTAGTAGTAGTAATTTTATCGTATTTCTTTAAATAAAAACTAATTTTTGTTGTCAGCTCTCAACAATCAGCGATATGTTAATAACATAGTAACTGTTAAATCTAATAAACATAATCCAGAAGTATTATTATCATGATTATTATTTGTCCTTTGAGTTCCTAGTGGAATATAGCGCTTCAGTAGCACGTCACCATTGCACTCTCTTCTCTACAATCTTTTCAACATTCCCTCACTACTACCCACATGCTTTTATTTCACTCTTCCACGATCTCCTCAATGTCACCATCACTAAGGAGGCTCAACTCGTCGTTTCCCATTTCGACTCCACTCGATGGCATGGCCTGATGGGCGATGTCCCCAATCAGTCTTCTCAGTGTATGCGCAATCCAATCCATCTACAATTTCTCCACCATATTTGTTGCGCTATGGGTTGTTGGTTGGCTAGTTCATTGCCAGCAGGCAGCCAGCCAGCCACAGTTCCTTCCTGCTTATTCTTATTGATCTGCCTATCTCATCTGATCTTCAGTGTTGAGTGAGCAAGCGTAGACAGCAGCTGTTGATGATGAATGTCTGTAGTTTGTTGAAATGCTTTTTGTGACGCGTCGTATCTCTCAACCATCACGTAGGAGTACTGATTTCACTGACATTAGTATTGAAAATCTAGATCTTATTCACGTTTTATGTTGAGCGAAATGAACTCCAGTAGATCTCCAAACTGATTTCAGGTTATTGAAGGAGGGCCTGTCTAATTTGCTTTTCCAATGCTGGCTTTGACGTCCTCATCTGTGCCGCCACCACGTGTAAATGAAGCGAAGCTGTCTAGATAGATAGGTAGGTAGGTAGGTGTGGGGTGGTTGGTAGGTAGGTAGGTAGGTAGGTAGGTAGGTAGGTAGGTAGGTAGGTAGGTAGGTAGGTAGGTAGGTAGGTAGGTAGGTAGGTAGGTAGGTAGGTAGGTAGGTAGGTAGGTAGGTAGGTAGGTAGGTAGGTAGGTAGGTAGGTAGGTAGGTAGGTAGGTAGGTAGGTAGGTAGGTAGGTAGGTAGGTAGGTAGGTGAAGGAGACAACTTCCGTTAGATTTATCCCATTGATCGTGTTTGTTGTTGTTCTTGTTGGGTATCTGCATCACCTCTATCTTCTCTACATTCACCTGGAAGAAATCCCGTCTTCTTCTTCTGCTTCGCGTCGCCTCGCCTCGCTTCGCCTAGCCTAGCCTGCCTTCTTCTGTCAACTTGTTAGTTTTCATGTGTAGATCTTCGAGTTTCTACAACATTAGACATAAATCATCATCATCGACGGGATCCAAATCTCCTACGCTCCTTTCATCGGTCCAGCGTATGTACCTCTTCTCACTCCTCACATTTCTTTGTATGATCCAGTCGAGTCGAGTCAAGTCGAGTCCAGTCGACAACAATTAGGAAGATCATCGGTGGTAGTCAGTGGCGACCTTGTCTCATCTTACTTCTGTCTTCAATTCAAAAGCTTCACTGAGCTTTCCATTGTGAATCACTTGGCATGTAGCATCACATATCATGTAGCTGATGTTGAATGAGGTTGATGACAGTTTGCGGCACTAAAACCGTAGTGTTGAAGCAGTTTCCATATTACTTCTCGGTCGATGCCTCGATCGACGGTCTCTTCAAAGTGGATGGGGTTGAGGTGAGGATCCAGTTGACCGCCATTCTCTGCTCTGTTGCATGATGTTGAGTAGCGTTACAATTTCATCCGCATATGGTTTGTTCTTCCTGAAGACAGTCAATCAGCCTGTTCCGGTCGTGATTGTGAATCCAGTGTATTTGTAAGTCTCTCCAGGATGACTAGGCTTGATATTTTACTTGGTGCTGACAAGAGCATGATTCCACTACAGTCCTTGCAAAGACTTAGCTCTCCCCTCTTTGAAAATTTGACAAGGTTGCTCTTCTTCCAATCACTTTCCTTCCCCCCAAATCTTGTGCAGTAGTGGTGTGAGTATGTCCGCTGTTGTCTTTATGTCTGTTATCAGGGTTTCTGGCGAAATTTCATCTGATCCCACCGCTTTCCCGGCTTTCAGTAACTTTATGGTGTTCAAGAATTCACTTCTGCTTTTGTCGGAGGGCTTATGTTCACTGGTAATTCAGTGGCTGCTGGTGGTATTTGTGAACGAAATGCAGGTGTTGATCAGTTCAAGAGTTTTTTGATGCGATCAGCCTATCATTACCTTTGTTTCTCCTCTTTGGCGGTAACTGATTCTCCTTAACTATCTTTCATTGGTTTCATCTGTGTTGGTATCTTAGTGCGCACTCCACTTTTTTGTCCAGTGTAGTGTTCAATAGGTTGTGTTCAGTCCCCCTTTTCATTGTTCATCCTTGCACTGCTCTGGTTCATATTCTGCTTCACCATCTTCCTCCCTTCTACCAGTTTCCATGTGTCCGTGGAGATCCATTTCTTGTCTTGCTTCTTTTCCCTTCCTAATACGGTCATGCAAGTTTCTTTCCACGTCTCTTTAAAAAGGTTCCAGTATTCTTCCACAAAGTGCTCCTCAGCGATTCTGCTTAATGTCTCCCATTTTTTCCTGATAGTTGATGTGAAGATATCCTTTGAACTTTCGTCCTTCAGCTTCTGTTCTGGGTGTTCAACTGAAACTGCGGTCTATAACCAGCTTCTTCAAAGGCATTCAACTTGATTTTGCAGGTAGGTTCCTTGCACTAGATAGTGAGTGCTATGAATCCACATCTGCTCGCCTTCTTCATCTTGTGTCAAGTAGACTGCGTCTCCATTTTCTTGAGACTGAAATGAATTCGACCCGACTTTTAGTATGCCCTGATGTCTGATAAAATCCATGTCACTTTGTGAATATACTTGTGTTTGTATACACTGCCTCCAATCTCCAAATCATAAAATGTGCAGGACTCTGCGAACAATTCTCTATTCTCGTTCATCACTTTACCGAGTACTTCGCGACCAATGATCAGTTCTCTTTCAGTGTTGTCTGCTCCTAGTTTGGCATCCATGTCACCCCACCCATTATAATTTTGATGTCACTAACTGAGGTCTTGTCCAGTGCTGATTGCAGTTGTCTATAGAATTTCTCCTCCTTTTGTTCATCTGCATTATTTGTAGGTGCGTAGCACAGAATGATTGTGATTTTTTTTCTTTTGAGTTAAATCTTGTTGTCATAATCCTGATCCCCGAGGAGATTGGTTCCCACTGCATGACAGAGAGCCTTCGATCCTCTCGAGGACATCATGGTAGCCACTCCGGAACCCTGTGTACTCGTGGTTGTCATCTGGGTGACAATATTGGTGTAGATTATTGACTCTTTAGTTGACAGTTTGGAGAGTCCACTTCCATTTCATCTTCAGATTCCTCGCAGATTTTTGATACTTCTATGCCATACCTTCTCATCTCTTTTACAATCTAGGCAGGCTTGCCAGCCAGCCAGCTTCAAATATTGTGCAGACATTCTATGTCCCCAAC